CAAGAGAAAAGCAACTCATCACATAGAGGGGGTCTATCAATATGATTAACAGCTGACTTCTCATCTGAAACAATAGAGTCTAGAAGTGGAAAGACATATTCAAAGTTATGAAAGAAAATAGAAACTGTTACCCAATAATTCTAAATCCAAATGGCTATCCTTCAAAAATAAAGGCAAAATAAAGACATTTCCAGATAAATAAAGCCTGAGAAACTTCCTTGCTGGCAGAGCTGCCCTATAAGAAACACTGAAGTAAGTTCTCCAGGGTGAAAGGAAGTGAAACCAGGCAGTAAGAAATGAAGTCCATAGGAAGAAATGAAGCTCACAGGAAATGATATATATGTGGTTAATATGAAAGACTATAAATACAGTCATGCATCACTTAGTTATGGGATACATTCTGAGAAATGTGTCATTAGGCTATCCTGTAATTGTGCAAACATCCTAATGTGCACTTGCACAAACCTAAATGGTATAGCCTACTGCACACCTGTGCTATATGGTATAGCCTACTATACACCTGTGCTATATGGTATAGCCTATTACACACCTGTGCAATCTGGTATAGCCTACTGTACACCTGTGCTATATGGTACAACCTATTATACACTTGTGCTATATGGGATAGCCTATTACACATCTGTGCTATACAGTACAGCTTATTGTTTTTAGATTGCAAACCTGTACAGCATGGTACTGTAACACAATGGTAAATAGTTAAGTATGTAGACACAGGAAAGATACAGTAAAAATATAGTATAAAAGATAAAAAGGTACACCTATGATAGGACACTTACGATGAGTGGGCTTGCAGGACTGGAGATTGCTCTGAGTCACTTAGTGAGTGGTGAGTGAATGTGAAGGCTTAGGACATTATTATATACTACTGCAGACTTTATAAACACTGCAGGCCAGCATCATCACAAACATAATGTAATGCACTGTGATGTTATGTTGACCACTTTGTCACTAGGTGATAGGAGTTTTCCACCTTATTAAAATCTTATGGGACCATGGTTGTATATACACAGTCTATCATTGACCAAGACAGAGCTTTGCAGCACCTGACTATACATATGTTTTCTCATTTGTTCTCTTACTATCTTTTAAAGACATAAGTGTGTATAAATCAATTATTATAACAGTAGTTTTGGAGTGTATAATGTATGGATGTAACATATACATGACAATAATAGCACAAAGGAGGGGAGGAAAAGATAATGGAACAGCTACTGACACACGAGGACATGAATGGGCCTCAGAAACTTTATGCCAAATGAAGGGAGTCTGATGCAAAAGACTACATAGTAGGTGACTTCACTTACACAAAATGTCCAGAAAAAGCAAATTTATAGGTACAGGAGGCAAACCGAGGCTTTCCTTGGGCTAGAAGTGGGAGTGAGAATTAACTGCAATGAGCACAAAGGAATTCTTTGGGTGATGTAAATGTCCTAAAACTGGATTATGGTGATGGGTGTATAAGTCTATAAATTTATTAAAATTCATTAAATTGTATACTTAGAATGGGTGAATTTTATCATATATAGCTTACATCTCAATAAAGCTATTAAAACATGCAACTATATGAGATAATAACAAATGCTATAAAGGAAAGGCAGTAAAAAATTAATGCAGTCATTATTGTGGTTTGCCAAATACTTTCAATTCTCTCCTAAGCATGGGGTAGGGCTGTACTTTCTGAACCCCTGGTAGGTACTTGGGGCAATGGGTTGTGAGTGAAATGTGACTTCCAGACCAAGGATTTCATTGCCAGTGTGAGAACCTTCTAGAGCTCAATCTCTCTTTGCCATCTAGCCTGCCTGCCAGTATCACCTGAGATAATGATTGTTCCTTTAGCCTGGGCCTTTGAGTCATTATGATGGGCAGGTTACCTGTGACCCAGTTATTGTGTAACCTATTTCACTGTGACACAGACAGGCAGTCAGTGAAAGCCTCAAAAAAGGTGACATTTGGGTAAAAGCCTGAAGGAGGTGAGTTTATGATCCATGTGGATAATCTGGGGGGAAGGGTGTTCTGGAGAAAGGGCAGAGCACGTGGAAGACCTGGCACAGTTGAGGAACATCGAGGGGGCTGGCATTGCTGGTGCTAAGCCAGTGGGGGGTGTGCATGGAGATGACATGATGAGTAATGGTGGGCTGGATGGAGAGGTCACATGGGAATCCACTGGGATGTGTTGTGCCAGTGACAGATCTGATCAGATTTAGGTTTTAACAGCCTTGCTCCAGCTGCAATATTGAGAAGAAATGAAAGGGCAAAGGGTAGGATCAGCAGACCAGAGAAGAGGTGAGGGTGGACTTTATACCCTGCTGCTAGTCACTCTTCCTATAAGCAATTCTGACCTAAGCACTCCGATGCTTACCACTTCCAATAGCTCCTTTTGCTCATGAGAAAGAGTCCAAGTTTCTCAACTTGACACTTATCTACCTTTCCACTCTTATCAACGACCTCACTCCTTCCTACTACTTCAATTCTCCTCTCTCCCTGTCTCCTACTCTCCTAGGACATACTCTTGCCTCCCTGCCTGGATTCCTGTGTTGACCTCACATCCCTGCTATCCACAGCAGGGAGGGAGAGGGCACGTTCTGGAGAAAGGCTACGTGGACAAAGCTGCCGAGTTGGGAAGGCATGAGGGGGGCGAGATGGAGGAAGGTGCCCTTTCCAAGCTGCCTCCTGGCATTGGTCCTGAAGGTCAGCTTGTGGGCCAGGAAGCTGGGGACCTGTAGGAAGAGCTGAATTCAGAGCTGCTTTCTTCATTTTGGACACTCTGGCTAGGTATGGGCAGAGACCCCCATCTTTCTTCCCACCATGATTCAGACGTGCCGTGGCCACTCCTGGTGAGGAGTTCTCAGGAGGGCCAGCCACAGGGAGAAGCCACCAGTCCTTAGGAGAGAGTCAGGCAGGCGGTGAGCAAAGAGGCCACAGCTGGTCAGAACAGGCAGGAGAGTGTCACAGGAAGAGCCTACACATGCTGGAGCCAAGGGTACCCATGGCTGGGTGCAAGTTTCAGCACAAGGCTCCCAAAGGAGACCCAGGCCTGACTGGCCTATGGCTTCCTGCTGCAAGGCAGGCCCTGGTTGGACAATATTGTGGGCAAAGTAAAGTGAAGTGTGTCAGCAAAGTTGAGTCCCCAAAAACCTTCTCTTTGCCCAAATTCCCTGAACATCTCAGTTAAAAACAAGCTCAGGTTCCTCAATAATCTCCTCCAGAATCTATGGAGAGAGAAGGAAGGGGAAGGAGAAAGGGAGGGAAAGAGAGACAGAGACAGAGATAGGCAGAGAGAGAGGGGGAGAGAGATAGAGACAGAAGGGCTGACCCAGAGACCAAGGATGGGGGAGAAGCCCTTCCCTATGCTGACTGACTCCTTTTCTCCCCAGGGGCGTCGCCTGTCGTTTCTGATGAAGCTGCGATGCACGTCACTATGAGGATGAATCTTAAAGATGTTACTCTAAGTCAAGGAAACCAGTCACAAAAAGACTAGTGTAATGCGATTCCATTTATATGAAATATGCAGCATAGGTAAGACCCATCAGTAGGCGCCATGGCAGGGGAGGTGGGAATGGGGTTTTCTTTGGGGCGATGAAAGCATCTGGAGCTAGAGAGGGGTGGTAGTCCACACACTGTGCATGAATTACACTGAAATGACTCTACCTTTCAAATGGTTTTGTTACATGAATTTCACGGATAAAATTAATCCAATCAAATACTTAAAATCAGTTGTTTTACGCAACATCTCATTTGTCTTTTTCTTAAATGATTAGGACCTGCACCCTGAAGCAGTGACATGAAAATCTAGTGGCTGGAACCTTCCACAGAATAAGTGAGTTTCCTTTCAGACCAGATGGTGCTATGAACCCAGCTCAGAGGTAAGAACCTAGAGATGTTATAGATCCACCATGCACCGGGCTCAGAAGAGTTAAAGGCCAGTGTCAGCAACTCCCCACCCCTATTACAGGAGTGGGGATTCAGAGAGGTCAAACCCCTGGCAGTACCCACAGCAGGCATCTGGCCCAGTGCCCGATCCAGGCCACTTGGCTTGTGAACACAGAATCTGACTGCCCATCCTACAAGTGCTGGCTCAGGCCCCAGCAAGGCTGCCATGCAGTCTGCGGCCACCTAAGCTTGCTCTGGTGCTTCCCGGCCCTGGCTGAACAGTAGGTTCTCCTGGGAATTAAGACATATGCTAATGTCTGGGACTCACCCCAGATCAATGAAACCCAAACTCAAGTATTTAAAAACACCTGGGATTTTACAAAGCTCCTTCATGATTCTACTGCACAGCCAGGCTCAGGACCACTGACTTCACTTTTCCTGCTAGTATCTGGGATTTCCGTCATCATCTGAAGGTGCCCATATAGCATGAAACATCACTGCACAACCACCNTTGACTTCACTTTCCTGCTAGTATCTGGGATTTCCATCATCATCTGAAGGTGCCCATATAGCATGAAACATCACTGCACAACCACCCGGCCAACACCTGTGCGATCAGCTAGCCAGCACCTGCCTGCATGTGGCCCACCTGGAGGGTCGTCTCACTCTAAGTTACCTCCCGGGCACTGTGCTCTGGGTGACTGCTCCGCCCTCTCTCCATTTCTGAATTAAGAACCTGGCTGGATTGTTTCCAAGTGAGCACAGAGCAGCCCTGGGAAGCACAGCCTTCCCAGGAAAGGGTATCCTTATGCACCGTGCTCTGTGGGCACAGGGTCCTTAGAGACCCTGCATGTCCTCACACCCTGAGTGACTGGAGCCCAGGCCCCCAGCAATCATCACATCAAATGCTCTGTTTTTCAGGCAGACGTGGAATGGTTTCCCAGTTAGGCGTGAGGACTGTGCCACTGGCCAGTACCTGGGCCCTGGCCACAGTGCCCCTAGGTGCTCTCAGCCCACAAAACCAAGACGGCTCCTTTGGGTGGCTTCAGGTGGCCCCTCCCAAGATCAAAGGTAATCATACTCCACACAGAATAAAACAAAATTCTTACCAAAATATCTGGCTGCAAATGTTCTTCTTTTGCTGGAGACCGTTGGCAGCATAGTGCAGCTGGCCGTCTATGCACAGAGTTCTTGTGTGTCGTTTCTATAAAGAACCAACCACATCCTCCAGCAGACAAGCTAATTCCTGTTTTCCAGTAACAGGAGATCAGCTTTTATAGAAAAATATATTTAGAATGCCCTTTCTCCGGAGTTTCCTTGGATTTCAAACCAGAAGCCTTGCTGTAGGGAGTTGGTCCCCTAAACGCAAGTGTACCCAGGATCTTGGAAGAGCCTTGGGCAAGTCACGGGGCCTCTGGTGTCAGTTCCTCAAACCTGTGAAATGAGAACAGTGCTGACAACGACCCTCAGGGCGTGTGGAGGATCTAGAAGGCGGTGTGGTAAAAGGGCAAAGCCTTCCATCCATGTCACACTCTGTGTTTGACCTTGGCGCTCTGCTGACCTGGATTTAGAGGAGCCGCGCTTCCCGGAGCCTGGGAAACAGGCAGAGAGCAGCAGTCTGCGAACCTGCAGCACGATCTGCTGCCTGGGGACACAGAGCTCAGCGCCCAGGGACAGACCCGCACCCTGGGCTGCTGGCTGCTATGGTCGGCTTCTGGTTCCATTTCTGGAAATCCAGCATCATTGGGGCATCATTTACAGTTGTGAAAATCCTGGTTATGAGACAGTGAGTGACGTTTCCGCAGCCATCGGCCTCATTGACGTGGTTGTGGCAGTCACGGGAAGGCGGCTCAGAGGGGCCGTGTTATCCTGACTAAACATGTACGTTTGGAGTTCACAGCGGCGGAGAGCAACTGCCGGGAGAACACCACGGGAATGTTCTCCCAGCCCGTCCTTGTCTGCCTCGCTCCCGGCCTCTGCTGTGTTGAACTTGTACCGTGTCTGTGGCTCCAGAACAACCACTGTTACGCAGATAAAATGAGCACAGCCAAGGCTCCCAGTGGTGGCTCCTCTCAGCCTGGCTGCAGGCTGCGGGCTCCAGGAAGCAGGGATTCGGGCTGTGGCTGCCCCAGGCTGCTGGACAGCGCGGTCGCGGGTGGCCTGGGGCAGTGCTCTCTTGCTCCAGGCCTTGGCAACGGGTGGACAGCTCTGCTGCTGGTGTCCTCTGGAAGAGCACAGGGACAGTACTGAGGGAGGGCCAAACTGCGCTTGAGGAGTCACCTGGGGCAGCTGGGAGCAGAAGCCCGCGGGTGGGAGCCTAACTGCTTGAAAAGAGCAGCAAAGCCTAAACCAGAGGTGCGGACATGCCCAGGGAAGCTGTGCAAAGTACAAAGTGAGAAGAGGGGGAGCCCGAGCCGGAAACACGGAGGTGCCGAGCTTCAGTCCCGAGAACCCTGGAGCTGGGGCAGAACCTGGGGACAGTTATGGACCCAGGGTGACATTTCTCTGTATTCTCCAAGCACACGGTGGGAGGGTGACAACAGGGACTGGGAGTGAGAGGAAGGAGCCTGTCCCATGACCTGGTATTGTAGGAGCTTCAGCATCAAGCAGCTGCATCATGCCCAGGTTTTTCCTCTCTCTGGTAGTGTAAATTGGACAAGTACTGGACAGGATTAGCAGATTTAGCAAATAAAAATGCAGAATGCCCAGTTATAATTTACCACGTGTTCCAAATATTGCATAGGACACAGCATCTATGTAAGGGTATTCATTATTGATGTCTGGCAGCCTTCATCTCCATTTTCATCTTTGGCCAAAAGAGGGTAATAGGGTGAGAACCTTTAGTTGCTGGAAACTCCAAAACACAAGTAAAATGGGCTTAAAACATAAGAGGAGGTTTACTGGCCCCTTTAGTGGGAAAGTCCTCATGATATGGATGTGACACATGGCTAGACTCAGCAGCTCTCCTGTTAGCTTCTGGGGGTGCTGGCTTCACCCCACCAAGGTTTCCTTTTTATTAAAGAAGGTGGGACACAGCACCAGGAGCCCATATCTCCTCCTTCATGTCCAACAATAAGAAACAACTACCTCCTAGTGTCTTCCTCAGGCGTCCTGGGAAGCTTCCTCTCCCTACTCTCCCAAACGTCTCTGTCCTCATGGCCTTGACGGGGCAGCCAGTCTGTCCCTGAACCAGTCCCCAGCCGCTGGGTAATGAGAAGTGCTGGTTTGCTAAAGCACCCAGGAGTGGGGCGCAGCTGGCTTCCACAGGCATGGGCTGGCATGGGAAAGAGGTAAAGCCAGGTTGGCTGCCAGGGCACTCTGACTAAGCGGAGGGGAGAAGGGCTCTGAGACCACAGTGCCCACTGCAGGTTTGTCTAAGGGCAAGATGAATGAGACTGGCCCCAGGGGTGTGTGTGCGTGTGTGTGCTTGTGTGTGCGTGAGCTTGTGTGTGTGTGTGACAATGTTAGTTCCTCCCCAGGACAGATTGCTTGTCCTTACTCTTTCCCAGCCTCTTCCCTTCCCCTGGCAGGTCTATGCTCCCACCTCGGCTTTGCCTTCACAGGGCAGAGGCCTCCCCGGGAGACAGTGAGCAGGGCCTTTGTCCTGGCTGTGCCCTGTGCTTGTGCCCCGGGCAGGTCCCTGCCCCTCGCTTCCCCAGTTACATTGGGAAGCACTGTGTGGGGTGGAGCATGGTTGCACCAGGAGGGCTCTGGTTGGAGCAGTGGCCTTTGCTGACCTTAGCCTGCAGGGGGATGACAGCCCCGGGGCACGGGCATCTGCTTTGGGGAAAATAAGGGAGGAAGGGCAGATATGGTGGGCTCTGCTCACCGGCCAGCGGAGAGCAGCCTCAGGGGCAGAGGGGACAAGGGAGCTGCTGTCATTACCTGCCCTAGTCCTTGCCTTGCCCTCACCTGCCTTTCTTGGCTGCAGTGTTTAAGGGCAGGCCACACCCCAGCTAAGCTCAGCGCCCTGGGGAACAGCTGCTGGGCCTTCGGGGCAGCCCCGTGAAGGGCAGCATGGAGGGGGCTGGGTGGCTCAGCCAGGAGCAGCTCTGGCTGACGGGGCTCAGTCAATGGCCTCACGGTGGGGGCTGGGGGGAACACCAGGTCTTCCTGGGCTCAGGATGCCGGCAATGGCGCCCGCCCCGCCACAGGCATTATCAATAACGACAGCCAGCAGTTAGCAGGTGCTGACTATGGACCAAACACATTCACCCTAAGGTGAGCAGTACAGTGGAGCGTGAGCCACCCCCAGTCGCACAGCTCAACATGGTGAGGTAGAGTTCAAACCCAGGGCCCTCTGCTCGCTGCCGCCTCAGCCGTCAGGCCTGGGAAGGTGGCCCCAGCTGTCCTGGGCTGGCCCAGCCACGTGCTCACCCTGTGGCTCCTCATTTGTCTCCCACAGGGCCCGGGGCTGTACCCTGTGTGAGCACAAGGCATTGAGCACCCATCACAGGGTGGGCATTGGCCCCGGTAGGCAGGGGTGGGCCTGGATCCCAGGAAAACTGCCTGCATGTTGCCCCACCAGGGTCTACTCACTTGGTACCAGCAGCTGGACACCTCAGTCTCCGCCATCGGGAGCCTGCCTGGGGATCCTTCCTCAGGCCACCTCCTGGAGGGCGTGCTCAGGCTCCCTGCTCCCTCTTCTCACCTGGTGGCCCCAGGCCCCTCCACCTGACCCTGTGGTGAGCAGGCAGGGAAGGCAGGCCGGACCAGCAGGAATCTGCCCTGGCTGAACATCATTGCTCAGCTCCAGGCTCCCTGGCTCCTCAGTGCCTCTGGGGAAGCTGTGCTGATGCCCTTGTCTTTGGCCTGCCAAGAGCCTGAAGCAGCCTGGGCGCAGGAAATGTTTCCCCAGTGAGGCTGACCTCTGCCAGGAAGGGCTGGGGCAGGGATGGCCAGGGCGCCCTCTTGGAGTGTCACTTGGCGCAGAGCGCCCCCTGGCGGGCACCAGCTAGCACCGCCTCCCGTGCCCCTGGACCGCGGCCTCCCTCTCAGCCCCATCCCCATCCCTCCCAGCCTCTGGCTCCCTCAGCTCTCACTCGCCCCACCCCCACCTGCAGCCTCACCTTCCCTGGAGCCACGCGAGGCTAGCAGAGTGTGTGGGTTCCTGGGGACTTCTACACGGAGTCTGCCTCTGAGCAGCTGGGTTCTGTACCCCTGGCCCAGTTACGTGTTTTCAATATGGGCAGGAAGTTGGGGTTGGAGAAGTCACTAGAAGGAGAGGAGCCCTCAGGTTGCAGAGGGGGGATGTGAGCCACTTCTCAGGGCCCAGCGTCACCCTAGTCTACCTACTTCGTGGACTGGGACACTGAGTCAGAAAGGTTCAGCCAGTTTCCCAAGGGGATGGATTACAAGTGACTTTGTTGAGATCTGAAACCACGGCCAGTGAATTCAACCCCTTGAAAGCCCAGCCAAGGAGGGAAGCAGGCAGGTGGCCCTCACTGACCTGCTCCCCGTGGGCCGGGCGGGCAGAGAGCCCCTTCTCCCAGGTGCGCCCGCCTCCCTCACCTGGGCTCCAGGCGGCCCTCTGCCCTCACCCCCCCGGACCCGGCGGGCGCGGCTGGCCAGGGACTGGCGGACTCGGAATCTGGTGCAGCTGGGGCCGGGTGGGGGCGGCCACGGCAGGGGCAGGCCCATCCCCATCAGGCACCCCAAGCACAGCGGGGACCTCCC